CTGCCAGGCCACGTGCTCAGCCCTTATTTGGGTTTTTAAAAATTTATTTATAAAGTTTCTTTGTCATTTAGATCCATTGAAATGTAGGTGTTAACTAGAAGCTGTGTTTTCAGTCTTAATCAGTAAAAATCTCTTGAGATTCTGGAAGACCACCAGCCTTCCTAAAAATGACTTGTGTTTTGCCACCAAGTTGTGGTTTTAGACAGTGATAGATAAGAGCATTTCTTCACTTTCTTGTTGAAACGCATTATCTGGGTTCATCAAAATTGGGTATCCCCAGGGCTGGGGAAGCTGAGGCAGCAGGATGGCAAGTTCACAGCCAGCCTCAGCAACTTAATGAGGCCCTGAGCAACTTAGTGAGACCCTGTCTCCAACTGAAAGCTAAAAAGGACGTGAGGATGTGTTCAGTGGTTAAGGGCCCCTGAGTTCAATCTTTGGTATCAAATTGAAAAAGAATTAGGTATTTCATTCTTTGTGGACAAGAGCCAAGTGGGGCTTGGCTGCCTGTGGCGCCTGCAGGGCTCCACTCAGCACCCAGTTCCCAGTTGATGCCCGGTAAGTGTTTGTTGAGAGGATAATTGTTTAATCTAGCATGAGTCACCCTGACTGTCATGACAGACGAAGTCGTCAGAAAAATCTCTGGTCATGCATAAGAGCTCCCTGCCAAATCTCTGTTCTGATTGCTAAAGTTTGGGATCTCTTTGAAAAATTTTGGAAAACCATCTCTGGACTCCAAATTGCCTGATGAAAGACAGAAGTGTACCTTCTTCTGTTCAGAGTCATTCTCTGACCATAAGAAGATTGTCACCTTTCTTGGTCACCAGTCCCCACTGCAGAAAACTTATTTTGTCCAAAATTTAAATGGGCAAGGATTCTTGAATGCACATATAATGGAACTGAAGAGCCATTTTATTTTCACAACTGTGGAGGTTTTGGGTTTGGGCATGGGGGTAGCAAACTGAAGAAATGGAGGAAGGGGTGACTTTTATCCATTTATACACCAAAGGCACTTGACCTGCCTGAAGCGCTAAAAAATGTACAGTGTTACTGTGCCATCTCCCACAGGCCAGTCCCCTGCCACTTCTAAAATAAAGAGTGTTATTCTCACTTGTGTCCAGAGGGACACACTTCCTTGATGCTCCCTGCAGGTGACTGACGGAATCCTCCTGTGGGGAGGCACAGGGCTGCTCTCTCTGCCCTTCTTGCTGCAAATTTCTTCTTTCTGTCCTTCGTTAAGTTCCAGTAAATCCTACTTAATTCATAAGAGCTCTTGGCTCTCAAAAGGAAATGTCTCATTTTATTTTTGTAAGTATAGGACAATAGTAAGTTGTTTGTTTTCTTTTCTTTTCTTTTTTTTTTTTTAAAGTGTAACGTTTTGATGCAAACGTGGGAATGATGACATCTTGAAAGGGCTGGGGTGGATCACACGGAGTCACCGCAAAACAAACGTCTTTCCATTTGAGATGTGCAATTGACTGAGGCTTATCAAATGCTTTCCCACTTTCACAAGGCACTCATGTGCATTCTGCTTTGTCTCTGTGCTTTGTGCACAGATTGAACACAGTGCAGGCAGACTGAACAGGTCAGCACCCAGGCGAGGGGAGCGCAGCCTCGAAGCCCTTTCTCTCCTTTCACCTCCCTTTTCACACGGTGGGTCTCACCAGGGCCTGACGTGCAGCTGGCTTCTTTCTTGTAACTGCATTAATTATTGATATGCGCTGGACACATAGGGGCCCAGCAGTTCTCCAGCTAGTGTCCTTTGGCCTTGAAACTTGCACAGGGTCCTGCTTAGGTGCCAGGAGAGTCAGCCCGGCCACTCACTGCATGCCAGCTTCCTTCATGTCCCTGAATCCCTGAATGTGTTTCTTCCTGGGCAGAATTGGGGAAATGATTTTTTTTTAAAGAGAACATGAGGTTTAAGTGGAAAAATCTCTATAAAGTGCAAATTGTTCCCCACGTGTTAACTATTTCAGCCATGGCTGTTCCCGGCATCCTCTGTTGCTTCTTCCAGGCAACAGATTGAGCGTTAATCATTAGGAAATTGGCCAGTGTTTACTCTAATTCACTAATAGTCATAGCTTTTCAGCTCCATAAGGGTGTTTTTATGTAATTCTTTAAATTGCAATGAACTTGCCATGAACTCCCAAAAGGACACCACGGAGGTGACACTCTGCGCTGCGTTCTGCTGCTGCAGAGCCTCCTGGGGCCCCGTCAGCCGGGCACACATAAGAGCTTTGGAGTGTGGACTAGGTCCTTGGAGAGAACACTCCCATGGAGCCACGTAAGCGTGTGGCTTTTGTCATTGGAAGAGCTCAAGCTTTAGGTACAAAGGTTTCTGTACCTTTTGGGCTGTAATCCCAAGTTTCAGAGCTTCATTGCTCTCCTAGAATCTATTTCTTTGCCCCCAAATCAAGCATTAAAAACTCATCCTTTGGGCTGGGGATGTGGCTCAAGTGGTAGCGCGCTCACCTGGCATGCGTGCTGCCTGGGTTCGATCCTCAGCACCACATACAAACAAAGATGTTGTGTCCGCCGAAAACTAAAAAATAAATATTAAAAAATTTCTCTCTCTCTTTCTCTCTCTCTTTGGAAAAAAACCAAAAAACTCATCCTTTGACTTTAGGACGTTCTCATGCAGATTCCAGTTGTGAGGCTCTGGCTGTATAGATCAAAAGCTTCCTTTGTTACCAAAAAGGCGGAGTGAACAGCATATTAAAATAAATGATCAGGTTGTGGCTCAGTGGTAGAGCACGTGCCTGGCATGTGCAAGGCACTGGGTTCGATCCTCAGCACCACATAAAAATAAATAAATAAAATAAAGACATTTAAAAATAAATAAATAAAATAAGTGATCATCAAAATTGATAAATTATATTACTGTGTTGTGTAGTGTACGAATATATAACAAGAAATCCCACTATTGCGTATGATTAGAATGCACTAATAAAAATTTTTTAAATAATAAAATTTCTCCTATAATGGGGAAAACAAATCATAATAATGATCATTTTACTTGTGTTTGCTCACTCAGAGAGTGAGGTGAGTTTTCAAAAGCCCCCACCCAGGCCGTTTTTAAAAACACACCAAGAGTTTACGAACAGGACGTTTGGAAGCCACAGAGAAGAAAGAACAGAGGCCGGGCCCCAGAAGCAGACAGAGGAGGGGGACAGAAGCCAGGAGGGCAGGGGGAGCTGCAGCTGGGGAGGACAGTGGCAGGAGACACTGGTGGCCCTGAGGAGCTCAAGTGATTTAATCCAGGGTTCCGCTGTCACAGGCTCCAGCTCAGTGGCAGTGGTCCTGCGGCTCCTGCACGTGAGATTTGGTTCCTCCCTCCATGGAGTGTCCCCTGCAGCTCCTGAGATGGGCTGCTTTGGGCCCTCCCTTCTCTGCGTGGTGTGTGGGCTCCTGCTCTCTGCCTGCTCTCCTGGCGTCTGCCACCTGTGACAGACACAGTGGCAGCTCTCAGTCTGTTCCCTGGGAGCCCTTCTCACTCTCCTGTCCCCTTCCTTGCTGCCTCAGTGGGTGATTTCCTCCATGTCCATGGCTCAGCGGCCCCCTTCAGTGGCCGTCTCAGGAGTCACAGACCTGCGTGTGCACCCCCCACACCTCCACTCCATGTGAGCCAGAGCAGCCAGGTGGGCAGGTGTGCACCTCTTCACCACCTCTTTTCCTCCTCTCTTCAGAGCAGGTGGGATGTCAGGGCAACTCAAGTCTCTTTCTGTGACAGGGTCAGAGTAAGACACGTGCATGCACTTATCCATTTATTTATCCTTTCCTATAACAAATCTGTATTGAGCCTCTTTATGAGGCTCTGCAAAATATACAAAAATAGATGAGGTGAGCTCTCAAGAATGGCTTATGTTGAAGGTAAAAAGTTTCTAGGGACACCTGCAAGGCAGTTATACGCTCTTGGTGAGTTCCGGGTACTATAACAAAGTATCACAGACCAAGTGGCTTACAAACAACAGTGGTTCAGGACACAAAGTCCCAGAGCAGGTGCCAGCATGGTGAGGTCCTGGTGAAGGGCCTCTTCTGGGATGCACACTGTGTCCTCATGTGGTGGAAAGAGTGAGAGAGGTCTCTGTAGACCCTTTTATGGGGCACTGATTACGATCATGAGGTCTCCACCCTCATGGCCTAATTATCTTCCAAAGTGCCCCCTGCACCCAGCTCTGCTGCCTGCCTGTGGGTCTCCTGGGAACAGGGTTTCCTTTTCTAGAGCAGGCCCTTCTGCCTGGGTAATCACAACACATTCAAGTTCTTCCTTTGATCTTTCCCAGAAATTTCAATCTTTACAAAAGTTCCTTCCCCAGCGCCCCTTCCCAGATTCCAACCACGCTCATCCTCTGGTTATAAGGAATGAGCGTGAGTGCTCACAGGGGCAGTGACTCTAGATGGTGGCGTTTTGCACGTGGCAAAGCATTTTCTATCATTACCTGTGGCATCCTATTTGTGTTTGTCCCAGGTGTACCTTTAGGCCAGCGCTCTCCAGTATCCGCACTGTTGGCCTTTGGGCTGGCTAATTCTCTGTGTGGGGCTGTCCCGGGCATTGTAGGTTATTTAGCAGCATTTCTGGTCTCCACCCCCTAGATTCCAGTAGTGATCCCCTTCCCAAGGGGTGACAACCATAAATGCGTCTAAACATTGCCCATGTCTCGCGGGCGTTATCATCTCTGGCTGCCTGGCACTGCCAGGCAAGGGAGGCACCCTCAAGGTCGGGTCGCACGCCTGTAAGCCCCAGGGTTTGTTGGAGATCTTATGGCTCCGTTTCCTCTGTGACTCGCACTGACCACCCCAATTATAAGGCACTGGGCAGGACGTTGATTCCAAGTGGCATCAAGTGTCACTCTGAAAGCCTTTGATCTCTGCAGGTAGGATTCTAGCACAGCTCTATCTCCACCCACCTGGAAGTGGACGACCTCTGTATGTGTTTTTACACTCAGCAATGAAGTAGGATTGCAGTAGGGAGATGTCATTGTCCTCCACTTCCCCCCTCTCAGCAGCATCAAGCGGACCAGCTCTTCTGAGCGAGTATCTCCTGGGGGCCGGCGGGAGAGCTCTGGGGACTCCAAAGGCAGCCGGAACCGCACAGGCTCCACCAGCAGTTCCTCTAGTGGCAAGAAGAACAGCGAAAGGTAAGGACCCCTGCCGCTGCCAGGCCATCTGATAACCCTGGCCCCAGGGACAAATCAAAGATCCCTGTGTGCAGACAAGCTGGGGACTCTCAGGCGCAAGGTCAGAGTGCTGGTCACACCCTTTGAGGGCAGCTGTAGTCAGAGTTCACTAAATCCTCATCCAGGGAGCTCACCTGCCCTCCCGACTCCCAGTGCAGGTCTGGGCAGACTAAGCCACTGCTGGCAATTTGCAGAGCGACCAGGGAGCCCAGGAGGCCGTTCTGAGTTCCCAGATGAAGTGCCTTGTTCCTCTAGAACACCTGCTGCCATCTTAAAACTGACCTTAATGGAATGTTTTAAGCTTGTCAGCAACATTTTCTAATATAGAATGGGTCAAAAGTTACAATTTGATAATTGGCCAGAGACTGCTTTCAGTATTGAGTTGACACAAGGAATATGGACCACTTTCCTTCCTGGTTTCCACCTCCCTTTTTAAGAGGTTGGTATTTAATGGATCATAACCAACATCTGTGACGTTCTACTCATACATGCTACTTTTTGGCGTTTTAACAGCTTGTTTTGTATGTAAGAATGAATTATGTAGATGAGGTCAATTTTTCTGTGTGTATCTGCCCAACGTGTGTTGTTCTAAGTTTTCAAACATTGTGCTTTGATTTTATCCCTTCTGTTTAGCAAAGCTCAGGAAGGAATTTCAGTTTCAGAGGCTAAACATGTTTCTTTTCAAATGTTCACGTAAGAAGGCTTAGTCATAATGCAGCCGTCTCCAACCAAGGGTTGTACAGGTTCCAAGTCTGTAAATCCGCTGTGCTTCATTCCTGTTCAGGACACAAAACTCTTTTTCAGTTTCGTTCCTAAAAGGTATTTTTTGCAGAAAAAAACATAGACACTTATCAATCTATAGCAGGTCAGTTAACAATTTCAGAAACCATTGACATAGCTTCTGTCTTCTAATTTAGACAGTACTTTTTTAAATTTTTTCCCCTAGTAACTGGGGATTGAATCCAGGGGCACTTACCACCAAGCCACATCCCCAGCCCTTTTATATTTTAGGACAGGATCTCGCTAATTTGCTAAGACTGGCCTGGAATTTGCAATCCTCCTGCCTCAGCCCCCAGAGTTGCTGAGATTATAGGCCTGTACCACCACTTTGGGCTCTGTTAGTACTTGTTATCAGAAGATTATGCTAACTGGGTGATAATGCTTTGGAAATAAGGCCAGGTGGTCACAATGGCAGCAGAGTGAGCCAGGGGGAGGTGCAGTGGCTCTGAAGGCTTGAGTTCTGGGTTAGCCTAGAAGATGACCTGAAATGTCTAGATCTTGGCCGTTCATATATACTTGGCTACTCTTCAGCCCATCTGATTTTTATTAAGAATTTCCAAAAAGAATCTGCATTGTGTAAACTCCAGATCTGTTTTATCTTTTAAATCCTATGGCTTTGGTAAATGTGCTGGGTAAATATTTCCACAGAAGATATTTACAAAGGGATTTTTGAGAAATGCCACAGTAGGAAATTTTGATTTGGAAGTGAGGGACTGGAAAAGTTTACTAATCATTTCCTAAAATAGTTCAGGCAACTCAAAGTGGCCATTTAAAAATAAATCCTTTTCCTCTCTAGAACTTAGGGAGGGTGGAGGCCAGCACAATGTGAGCTGTCCAGTTGCCGACAACCTCCAGAGAGTGTGGCATCTTCCCCGGGGTGACTGCTGGTACTGACAGGGCCTGGGGCCCAAGGAAGTCACAGCAAAAAAGCAGTTAGGAAGCAGCAGGAGCAAAAAGTCAAGGTGGACGTCCAGGCACTGCCTGACCCCTTTCCTCCATTCTTGTCTCCATTCCCCAGGGGCAGCCCCCAGCCTGGCTGCTCTGACCTCACTGAGGAAGCCTGCCTGGGGGTGTAGACAGGTGCAGAGGAATGAGTAATCCACGGGATTCCTTCTCAAACATAGCTACTCACAGGTGGCCCCGAGTCTGGCCTCCACTCTCACTAGCTCGCCTGTGTCCACTCTTCCAGTGGCCACCTCCTGTTTCAGAAGACTAGCTTGTTGGTTACTGTCGGCAGCAAGACAGAAGGCGAAGGCATGGAGGGCTGCTTTGTGAGCCAGGCTCGGCCTTCGCTGCTCCAGCTGGGTTTCGTCCTCTGGGAATTCTACACTGATGCCCTTGAATCTTACAAATGAGTGAGCCCCTAGGAAGCACCCGGCACAGGGGGTGGTGCTCAATAGATGCCCCCATTGCTGTGGTGGAGTCACAAAGAGAAACTCATGCAGAGCACAGGACAGTGATTGACGAGGCTGTCAGCGATTCTCCACTTGACTTTCCTCGTGTAAGTGAGGGTGTTCAGTGACACCTCAGGTCGTCAGTCTCATTTGCCTAAGCAGCACAGTCCTGTGGTATAGCCCAGATTTTGACACAATCCAGCCATGGTTGGGGGGACGTGAAGTGTGATGTGTCCCTATAATTCCCCCAGCTGCTGACAAAGTGGCACAGCATGGGAATCCACAGGCCAGGATGGCTCCCAGCCTGCCATGGCTGGAGGTCCTGCCCCTTCCTCTCCTATAAGCTCTTTGGGAAGCACGTGAGTACACGTGAGCTCACAGGCGAGCTCGGATTTGGCCTAGCCGAGAAGGAGTGCGTCACCCACACAGCAGTGCTGTGACTCGGGACAGCTGCAGATTGCTAGCTGTGAAGTCTGGTGTTCCTGCCTGTGAGCAAGGCTGTCTGTGGCACATAGACACGTCTGTACAAATCAGAAGACATTCCCTTCACTCAAAATATAATTCCCCATCGGCATGTGTATTTCTCCTCAATAATAATAACAGCAAAAGCTGTTCTGTATACATTGTTATCACTTGAACTGTGGAACAGAAAATAAGTGGTTTTGAAATCCTAAACATTCACTTTTTCCAAAACACAATAATTTATTTTGAAATAATTAATGTATTTGTTTTCATAGAAACTCTTTATGATAGTTTTTGTGTTCTTGTTGCTATATCCCTCATCTTTAGGACTGGTGACTGGATTTGACAGTTTTCTTGTGACAAGTAGATTCTTAACCTTCATTTTAGAATGCTTGCCATTTTAAAATATTTTGCTTATAGCAAGCTGCAAAATTTTAAGAACATTTAATCTTTGCACTGACAAAGTTTTCATTAAAAACAAAAGCAATGTAGAGCAATGTGATCTATTACTTTATGTATTATTGATAGTAGATGAATATTAACAATTATGCAGTGGTTCATGTCATCATGAAGCACTTAGTAAATTTAAAGAGGTAATCAGCAATAACATTCCAATGGCAGACTTGTAGTTAATGTCCTAATCCAATGAAGGACTTTTTAAAAATTTTAAAATAAGCATTTTCCATCGAATAGAAAAATAGCTACTTATTTAGAAGCACAGTTTATGCTACCTGTTGCTAGATCAATCAAGTGTTTCAGTTAGCACTCTGGTTCCCCCTTTGCAATTTCTGAGGAAGGAGATAAGTCACCTTCATTAGCAAGACACCATCTAAAGGTTGTAAGGGGCTGATTCCTGGAACAAGAGATGTTTCCCCCTCTGCTGGAAACTTGGTTGTAACACACCTACACATTGTCCATCTTTAGAACGAACATATCAAATACAGCATCCAGCAAGCAGCGTTGCCCCAGGTGCAGCGCCCCTCTGTGCTCAGCAGCCCTCCCGCCTTACGAGACTCTGAGGTCAGGAGCCACTGCCCAGAGCCCCTCCCTCCTAAAGCCCCAGCATGTGTGACACGGTCTCTGGCAGCTCCCTTGAGCTCCTGAGGGCTCAGAGTTGTTTTTCTTTAACTGTGGCGCCACTGAGCTATAATCTAAATCCTAATCCTCAGCCCAGGGTTCATGGCCTCCATATTCTGTCTCCTCACTGCCCTTGGGCTCTGACATCCGTGCCTCTCCACGGCTCTCACTTGCTTCCAGCAAGACTTTTTTCTCTCTTTGAGTTACTTTATTTATTACACAAGTAACCTGCTTTAGAACATCCAGATGTACAAAAAGCAATGAAAGTCACCTATGATCTGGCTCAAGGAGCTCAGAGCTGTGACTTGTCACATTTCCACCCAGCCTGTGTTGCTGGGGTGCTGTACGGGCGGTGGGCACTTCCGACGTAAACTACATTCTTCTGCGTATCTTTTGCAATCCTGTTTTGTTGCTCTGTGAATATGCCTCTTTCAGCAGACATACTTTCACAAAGTGTGATTTGTTATTTTTGTTTAAAAACATTTAAAAAAAATTTTTTCAGTTGTAGATGGACACAATACCTTTATTTTTATTTATTTTTATGTGGTGCTGAGGATCAAACGCAGCACCTCACACAAGTGAGACGAGTGCTCTATCACCAAGCCACAGCCACAGCCACAGCCCTAAAAACTTTAATATGAAAATAATTTCACACGAAAATAAAAATAGCACAAGGAGCACCTTACAGCATTGGTTTAGTTGGAGGTTGTACATGCAGCCGAGTGCACCTTAGTGGGACAGCCAGCTGCCAACAAGGTTTTCCTAATCCAGTCAGACCAGTCCAACGTCTGGAAATGTGCAGCTCAGAGTAGTTACTCAATAAATGTCACTGAATGGTTTATCCCATTTAATATAGCCAAAGAAGGTCAGAGTCGTGCTGCTTCGTAGCCACCACCAAGTTTGATTCCAGTTCTGCCACTTTTTGTTGTATGATGGTAAATTACTTGATTTCTTCTGGGAATTTCTCAATGTCAGTAAAAAATAGTGCCTACCTCCCAGGTGTTGTGAGGATTTAAAAGACCAGATATGCAGAACCCAGCACGCCTTGCCTGCAGTTAGCAGTTAGGCGGCCTCCGTGGCTGCCATCCCCACCCCAGAACACTGAATCGCTATTTGTGCTGTCGCGACACACAGCTGAAGTGTCTCTTCCTGGGGACATTTTGTAATTCCCCAACTCCTGGGTCTGTCCTTACCCAACCTGAAAAAAAGAGCAATGAGAAACTGGAAATTTGTGTCATCTTACTTATTCAGTCCCCAGCACTGCTTAACTTAGCACGGGCTGTGTGCACAGCGTGGTGCAAGACAGGGCCAGCAGTAGAAAGGGGCAGCATGAAGGGACTCATCCTCTCTGCAAAATTAATGACACAGTGACAGATAAGGGCCAATTTCCTTTAATTTTCCCAAGACCCAACACAAACCAGTAAGCAAAAGATAACATAATAGAAACCTGGGTAAAGGGTTTGAACTCACAGTTCCCTGGGAAAGAGATTCAGATGGCTAGCTAGCTAACACCATTGAATGGTCTTCATTAAAGAAATGCTACCTAAGCAAGCTGAGAGCATCCTGAGAGCTTGGACAGGGAGTTACTCTCAGACAGATGCCTTCCAGCTCTCAGTAGGTGCCAGGGCGTAACCTCTGCCAAGTGACGTGTGTGCCTGGTACCTGGGGGGGTGGGGTTGAATGTGCTGGGTGCCCCTGTCCAGGAAGCCTTCCTTTACATGGTCCCTCTCCTGCCGCTAACTTGTCTCTGACCCTGACTCCCACCCAGCTCCCAGGCTCCCTCAGGCTGGGAGGGGAGGAGACATGTGGCTCCTTAGCCTTGTGCCTTGGGCACCTTGCACAGTACCTGGCACCCAGTGTGTGGTGGGTGGATGAGGCTGCTGAGTGCTCAAGACGACCAGAGCCATTTAAGACCCGGTCAACAGCGCCACCTATGGGTAGGCAATTTAACACCACCCTTGCAGAAACATTCCCTCTGGGTGGAAATCAGGTGACGTAAAGTAAGCATCTTTTTCCTGAAAAGATGGCTTCACCCTTCATGCTGTGAGGTCATTTACCTTTGGGTATATTCTTAAGTGATCAGAGCTAATATTCTTTAAGTTGTTTCACTTCTGTGACTATCAGGCGAGGAGCCCAGAAAGTCAGTTAGGTTCTTGTCAGTGATATTGGAGGAAGAGGGAAGTAGTATAATTTATAAGGAAGTGTGAGGCACTGTGTTACACTTCTCATTTAATCCTGCCAGTCCTCACAACACAGTGGTCCAGTTTCTATTTTGTAGATGAAGGAGACGAGGCTTATGGAGGGAAAGCACCTTGTCCCAGCACCCCCCACTCATCAAAATCTGTGCTCCCCTGCTGAGTGAGGCTCAAGCTATTGGTTCTCATTGGCAGTGTCTGTGAGGCAGTAGTTGGGTCCCCATCAGAGTTTCCAGTGGCTTCTGAACATTTTTAATAGGTGCTGCCTGAGAGACCCTGGCCCAGTACAAGCCGTGTGGAGCCATTATTCACATGGTAGGGTACTGTGACTTCCCGTGATGATTTTATCTCCTCACATGGAATCCTTTCCAAGGAGAGCCGCATTGTGCCGAGAGCCGGTGGTGTGGATGAGTGGCAGGGAGGTGGCATGCTGAACTTGGTAGTGGCTCCTCCTGACCACACCGTATTAATCATTTTAAAAATGAGGTGCTCTGCTCAGACAGCATCTGGCTCCTGCCAGCCTGCCAGGGCCAGTGCCAGGTGCTGTGAGGTCCTTCCTGGGTCACAGTCTGTCTGAGGCCTGACACAGGGCTCAGCCTCCAAGCCCTGTCAGGACATAGAGTTGGTCCCCCGAAGTTGGTGTGAGCGCAGCTCCCCACGGGGACATGCTGTCTGTCACATCAGGTCCTAGCAAGCTGTCCTCTGCACTTTCCTCCCTGTGGACACACTGCAGAAGAAAAGGAAACAGCCACCCAGAGTCCAGGTGGGCACTCGGCCCTCACGGGAGGCATCAGCGGCCACTTCCTCTGTTGGTGGCAGCTGTGGAGTCCTGCCTTCACCGCCCACACACACGTCCAGCTGCGGGGACCTCTGAGCGTCCCAGGGGCTGCTTCTGTCTTGGACACACCCTTCCTGCTGAAGCAGGCGGTGGGGCTGCAGGGCAGCATGTCTGCTCCAGAGGTACCGCCGGGCCAGGGCAGCCAGGAGGCCAGGCTGGCCACTGGGGGTCCTACTGCCCTCCCTGTGGGCAGTGCCTATGCACTCTGGGCTGGCCGGGCAGGAGGAGGACACTGTTCCCTCTAGGATAGGGCAGGGAGCCCCACCCCAGCTGAGCTGCCATGTCACCCACGTCACTTTTCCACCTAGCACACGTTGAGGAATAGGGTCATCAGACAAATGACACCACGCCTAGAGAGGCCATCGCCCCATTCTCATCAAGTCCACACCTATGCTTGCCCCCTGGGCTCAGGGAGGTACTCAGGGCACAGCTCTGGCTGACGGGCTCTGATGGGGCCACAGCGCCTTCAGCTGTGGCCCATCGTCACCACCTATCATGGTGCCTGGCCGAGGAGGTGCTCAGAAGAGCCTGTGTCATTTCTCAGGGGGCTCTTATGACCTTCACCTGTGGGCGCAGGTGAACCGGCCTGCCCTCAGCCCCTCCTCCTGCCCGTTAGGGAAGGTGCTGGTGCGTTGGCAGGGAAAGGGGTTTTGAAGTGAGTTCATGGTGTCTTTTTCTTTCTTGATCTTTCGTTTGTTGTTTTTTTTTTTTTTTTTAAAGAGAGAGAAAGAGAGAATTTAAAAAATTTTTTTTTTTTCAGTTTTCGGTGAACACAACATCTTTATTTTATTTTTATGTGGTGCTGAGGATCGAACAGCGCCCTGCGCATGCCAGGCAAGTGCGCTACCGCTTGAGCCACATCCCTAGCCCCAAGAGTACACGTTTTCTATGAAAAAGTAATTTTCTAAAATAATGAAGCAGAGCAGTAGCACATTTTCTAAATTCCGCACCAAAAAGTGATCATAGTTTAGATGTGAGGAAGCAGCTCTTTGGTGCCACCTCAGTCCCCCGGCTCTCACTGATCTTCATTGTTTACATTCACATTACCTTTTTATGACTTTTAATAGAAGAATTTCTCAAGGCCAGGCATAGTGACTCACACCTGTCATCCCAGCTACTCGGGAGGCTGAGGCAGAAGGGTCACAAGTTCAAGGCCAGACCAGGAAATTTAGCTAGACCCTATCTCAAAATAAAGGACTGGGGGTGCGGCTCAGTGTTGGAGTGCCCCTGGGTTCCATCCCTGTACTGCAAGAAAGAGAATGAGCGAGAAGATGGGCAGAGCGGTCTTCTGCCTGGCTCTTGGAGCACAGCACCAGGGGTCTGCGGGTTCCCTGTTTGGGGGGTCAAGTTCCCCCATGGATTTTCTCTTTCTCAGATGAGCGTAATCCCTAATTGAGTTTTTGCATTTTAGAAAATGTCCCAGTTGTTTATGTCTGTGCTCGTGGCTTTTGCATCTTTCTACCTTTGGGATCATTATGAGGAAAGAAATAGTTGCCTTCCCTGAGCATCTGCATCTGCCTCAGTTTTGGGTTTCCATAAGCACCAGAGGCCGAGTACTCTATAAAGAAAAGAGGTTTATTTTGGCTTATGGTTGTGAAAAGTTCAGGATGGGGCAGTCACATCTGGCAGGGTCCTAACACAGCCGCCACATTCATGGTGGGAGCATGCACAGAAGAGGCCGAGACCCTGAGTGACCTTGGTTCATAATAGTCCTCTTTTGAGGTAACTGGCCCAGTCCTGAGAGCCCTGGCTCACTCTGGGACACCTAATCCAGGCTCTCGAAAGACAAGAATCCATTCATGAGGGTGGTGCCCTCATGATCTCACTGTCCCTTAAAGATCCCACGAGTCCTGACACCATCACAATGGAGACCACAGCAGCACCCTGACCTTGTCTGGAGTGGAGGTAGTACTGTCCTTGCCAGTGGCTGACCTGTCGGGGCCTGAGCAGTGGCCCCACTCTGCTGTGGTGTCCGAGGGTCTGTAGTGGAAGTTTTGCTGGTGGAACTCTAGCCCTGCAAGTGACGTTGGTCCTTCAGAGGCCCGCCCCTCCAACTCCTGAGAGACTTGATCCGCAGGTGCAGACACAGGTGGGTTCAGCCTGCTTGGTGGGGTCAGCTGGGCAGCTGGGGTCAGTTCCCCCACGTCTCACATGACGTGCCTCTGGCCTCCCTCCTGTCTTCCTCAGAACGATCATCTGCCCAGGAGAAGAGCACACCCACAGGTCTCTCATCAGGAAGTTGTAGCTTTAAATTAGGTCTTTAGGTCTGTCGGAAGAGCGTGGAGAAGAGGAACCATTTCACACATTCAATAGAGCCGTCCTTGAATGTTCCCCTCCTCTCAGGAGTAGCACAGCTTGGTGACAGACAGTTCCAACGTCTTGTACCTAGTTTTGGACATTTTGTTACCTGTGTTCCGTTTGCGACCACGCTGGTTTTGCTGTTCTTATTAACGCACATCATTGCATGGCTTTCCCGAGGTCCACCCCTGCGGTGTGGGCTGAGGGTGGGTCAGGGAATAAGACCAAACACCCAGGCACCTTTTAAAAGATGTTTTTGGTTTATTTCCACAGCAAACCCAGGGAGCCCGTGTTCAGTGCAGGTAAGTCTGATTTAATTTTTGTATGGGTGTCCCTCCCTCCCTTGGTCGGCCTTAATAAGTGGCTATAATGTGGATCTTGACCGAGGGGCAGATAAGCAGTAGCTGTCTCGGGGTCAGGTGGTCCTGGTATTTGGGGACTAGTGGTAACGGGCAGCCTGGTGTACAGCCACGCGCTCAGAGAACAGCAGGATCGTCATCCAGCAGTCACAGGGCTGGACCCTCACCTGCCCGCTCTAAAACCCATCTAAGACACGCCAGGAAAGAGCTCAGAGTGGTGTGCCACCGCGTATGTGCATTAGAACCTCTAGGGCAAAGACTTCTGGCCTTTCATTTTCCCTTACTAACTGGGCTTCTGTCCACATGCGCATTTCTCTCCCAGAGAAGGTTTCTGGTGCGTTGAGTTCTGTAACTTTGTCTAAAAGTAGCCTTACTTTTTCTGCCTATGGTTTCCTAAACTGCAAACTAATAGTTCATGTGTACCTTTCCATGTGTCTTTTTAAAGCACACTTTGTAATAAGGTAAATGCTGGGGCTTTTAGCATTTTAGTCTTATTTTAAAGCGTATTTAAAATGCAAAACAAATTTTTCAGGTGCGTAGCTGGTTAAGTTCATGTAATGCTAATGTCTCCAGTTTTTCCCCCTCAAATTCTAGATTAAAACCCAGAAGGCAGCTTTGTGTCCCTCAGCACGAGCTCTAGTCTCATTCCATTTTCAGGAAGCAGGAGGTCACTCACTGAGAAGGTGACTGCCCAAACTCTCAGGCCCACACCTCAAGCGCCTTGTCAGAGCCCCCCAAATGTCCCCATGTCCCGCGGGAGGCCGGGCAGCTCCTGCCAGCTAGTTAGCCAGCGCCCCCGCAGGCAGGCCGGCCACACTTGCAGCACCCACGTCTCTTTATCTAGCCCTTCAGTCTCTGTCTCCGAAATCACAAGGGAAGCGCCGGGTGACGCACTGCAAAGGTAGGCAGCATTCCGAGCCCATAGCTCTCTGAGCAAGGCTGCTACCCCGGCTCCAGAGTCCGCTTTCATACAGGCAGACCCTCCTTGTATGAAAACGCTTCTGCGACGCAAACACCCCGTTCATTTCTCGTGGAAGCATCCCTGAGCAGTTCCTCGGGTGGCCTTTAATAAGCAGCTGTGATTTGGATCTTGCCTGATTATTGGCTGATTATAGGAATTCTTAAAGTCTCCATCAACCTGAAGAGAGCTATAGGGCAGCCCTGGATGTCCCACTGTTTTGCACGGACCCCGCACTGCTGCTGGCCTCTGCCCACTCGTGCCTGCCGGGTTGTGATTGCACGTGGTCATCCTAACCAGCCTGAGAAAAGCATTGCTTTCCCTCGCTGCATTTTGGCTTTAGACGTAGGACATCTGGGCCACTGTACAAATAGCCACACCTGGGCCACCAGTGCTGAGCCAGCATGTGACGACAGCTCACACTGTAGGCTTCACCTAGGTGGACCGCGTGCCCTCGGTGGCCCTGTGTCAGCCGTGTCCTGTGAGTGCACAGGCAGATCATTCACAGCCTAGAGAGCCAGTGGAGTCACTTTTTGCTTGACTTTAATGCCATCACTCCTGCTTCCCTTCCCACTAGCGTTGGCTGCTGGGCTTTGAGAGCCCTCACTCGTGGTCACCACTCAGTGTGGGGCGCTGAGTTTTGGGTGGCGCTCGGGCTCGAGAGGAGCTCAGCAGCGGATGGGGCATAAGGCACAGATTTGTGGCCAGACAGGAAAGTCCCTGTGGCACTGTGGCCAGGACCTTGGGTAAGGTGGCACCCAGTAGGGCTGTTAGACCTGCCTGGTCCGGCAAGTCAGAGGGCAGGCAGAGGGCTGAGATGTGGCTCAGTGGCAGAGCACTGGCCTGGCCTGCGGCGGGCCTGGGCTCCATGCCCAGCACCGCACACACAAGATGGCAGGCACAGGACTGCATGGAGGAAGTGCCAGGTGACATCCAGCTTGGCCCAGGATGGGTTTGGTGGCAATATAGATGACGACCCCCGGGGCCATGAGAGAGCCTTGAATGGCATGGCCTCAGATGGGCAGCTCCCAGCACAGGGAGGGCAGCAGCAGCCACGTGGGGAACATTCTTTTTTTTTTTTTTAATTTTCTTATGTGGTGCTGAGGATTGGACCCAGTGCCTTATGCATGCCAGGCAAGTGCTCTACCACTGAGCCACAGCCCAGCCGGCGTGGGGAGCATTCTAACAGGAGGATTGGTGGAGCGCAGGCTCAGCCTGTGCAGGGTGGGCACGTTTGAAGCTCTTACTTAGAGTCAAGCTGAGCACACAGAGTGGAGATCATCACACGCATGCCTTTAGACTCTAGAGCACATGCACATAATAACATAGATCACGCCTCTTCATTTTTTAATAATATTGCATGTGGCATTGTTTGAAAATCCTTAGGAATAAGACTTACGAAACTAATTTGTGATTGTGGCACTCACAGTACTGTAATTACTCCATGATGTTCCTCACCAGTTTCCTCTCTGCGAATGGTTTTCTGTTGGGTTATGGACAGACAGCGCTGGTTCCAATGGCCTGGTTTAAATGTCATTAAGCCTGGGTCCCTTGTGTGCAGTGGAGCCTCGCTGACTCTGAGCTGAATTCATCAAAAGCTCAGGGAACACCTCCTCTGCTCCTGCTGTGTCCGGGAAATCTAGACAGAACACCCCACGCTGGCTTGTTTATGGACCAGAGGTTGCCCCAGGTTTTCACTTCACCCCTATAAATTTTTAGTATATCAAGTTATTTTAATAGAAGTATTCACTCTAGAAAGTTCTGCTTCCTGGTCTCCCTCTCGTGGATCTTCTGTTTTCCAGCATCTCCTGGAGCATTTCCCTTATCACGTCACCTTGCATGCGCTCCTCCTGCTGATTCTGTGTGCTTCACATTTGAAAGAATCTGTCCATGTGAAAGATAGATGAAGGCTTGTTTTTATACTTTGATATAGCAAACCAACTTAAATATTGATACATTGGGATTTATACACATTGAACTCAGTAGGAAATTAGGTGGCTCCTTTCCCCTCCTGGAGAGAGAGAGGTGTGAACCCTGAAGTGGCCCGAATAGCTGTCAGCATCTAGTTCTTTCTGCCTCTTAGGATTTCTTGCATATTAGGTACGTGACACACACGTACCTAAGTAAGCAGAATATCAAAAAAAATTTTTTTTATTTCTAGCCATTTAATTTTCTGTGTCAGCTACTTTTCCCTGGGATAGTGATTAGAAATGGCATATGGGTGAAGTTTTCACTTCTGCAGCGACAAGCTAGAGAGAATATGACATTTGTTTTCAGGTGCACTGGGGGGTCTTACTGACATCTTTGTTCTTTTTGTAGAGGAAGGATATGTGAAAATGTTTCTTCGCGGACGCCCTGTTACCATGTACATGCCCAAAGATCAAGTGGACGCTTACAATTTGGAAGCAAAAGCTGAACTCCCCACCAAGAGGCTGAAGCTGGAATGGGTGTATCCTTTACTCGTTGACTAGGTCTCACACCAGGTGAGCAGCCATGAGTGCTTGAAGTCTAGTTGCAAAATTTCACAGACTATAAGTCCTCTTGAGTTTTTGAAAAAATATTTTACTCTCAATTTTTAAAAGATTAATTTTACAAACATGGCCTTACGTTACTACCCAGGACAGCATCCTAACATCCTCTAGAGGAGCTGTTAACGTGGGGCTGAACTGACTCGTGGTTTGTGGTTCTTGCTCCAATACATAGACATTGTTTTCTTGAAAATATTAAAAGGTTACATGAGTGTATGAATATATTTGGGGGAGGCAGGAAGATGGATCATTAGTTTATGGCCCGAATTTCAGTCTTTCCAAAAAAAGCTAACTTTGGTTAGTTAAAAACACATCAAGAAACAAGCTTAGTGAAAATGCTTAAAAACAGAGAGAATCTGGATTCTGGTGAGAATGAAGGAGCTGGTCACTCTTCACAGCAGCTGTCACGTCCTTGGTAAACCCTGCTAGGACTGTGGAAAGGCCAGGAGCTCTGAGAATTCACCAGGAAACAGCCACAAAAATGCCAGAAAATACGGAGCTCATGAATGAGAAAGTGGGATGGGCTGTCCAAAATGACCAGACCCCGCTGGCAACACGGCTTAGACCCAAACAAAGGGGATCTCCCGGGAGAAGGACCTGCACTCTCCCCTCAGCCAAGTGGGAACGTGGCCATTGTGAGGAGCCCAAGTTCAAGGCCAATACCGAGGGCTTGAGGAGACGTGGAAGAATAAGCACACCTGCACACTGAATGGAGTGAACCCCGAGGCTTCTTAGAGCCAGGTGCAGCAGGAATGCAATCAGCTTTCTTAAAATAGGATGCTCTCCCACCAAGGTCTAGGGTGCCACTGTCTGACCCTGCCCTGTCACTAATGTTCTTGGAATAGAACACTGAAGTTTGGAAAAGTGTGCTTCCAGGGACGCAGCCAGGGACGAGGAGCGCGCTTGGGAAGGTGGGGTGGCCGCTGGCTTCTTCTCTCCACTGATTCAGCCACTCATCTCTCACTTTAGAGGAAGGCTGCCATGCTCCTCTCAGGCTGCAGAGAGGAAGAGCCCTCCGCCACCTCAAGCAAACGCTTATCTGTCACCTGTTCACTGCCAAGCCCTGGGACAAATTGTAAGCCAATGGCTTAAACTGAAGGTGTGGTGACTTCATTTAGAACAATGGCTGTTTCAGATTAGGAAATCATATTTTATCATCTGTACCCAAATTTCTCCTGAAAAGAAATTTTGTTGTTGTTGTTGTTATTGTTTTAGATTCACATGTTAAAGCGTTTGGCTGCCCCCATTTGGAATCTGTCTTGTCCCATGTCATTGAAGAGATCCATCTCTTCTCTAAGTCAATAGTGGTGTATTAAGTGGTTGATTCAAAACACCTTTATCCAGCCCACTTCTTATTCATATTTCAGAAGATGTAAAACAGTAAAATTTGCTTCAAATAAATGGTATTTTTTTTTTGCCAGGCTATTTTTACAGCCAAGTTCAAGTGAGGTTTTACACTCAAAATAGTTTTCAAGGTTATTTTTTTAAATATTTTTTTAGTTGTTGATAGACCTTTATTTTATTTATTTATATGTGGTGCTGAGAATCGAACCCAGTGCCTCACAATGCCAGGTAAATACGCTACTGCTGAGCCCCAGCCCCAGCCCCAGCCCCAGTTTTCAAGGTTTAAAAGTACACGTGTCAAAATTTTAACAAGGATAATTAGCCCCAAAGAGCTGGGGCCAGGAAGACCTAAACATTTTGTGTATGCATGGGTGTGTGTGCGTGTGTGTGTGTGTACGTATGATCTGTACCTTTTTATGAATACATTTATCATGTTTTTAAGGTTTTTTTTTTTTTTTAGTAAAAGATTCAGTTCCTAGCCTCATAATTGACTCGATAAAACAGAACTAATTTTTGTATTATTAAAAATTTGCATTCACATTGCATCAGTGACCATGCCCAACTTGATACAGCCACATATTGGACAGTGAGGGTTTGCAGGTTACCCTGTTTGGATCATAAAGCTGCTGATGTGCCTGCTCTCAAAGGAAAGCCATGTTTACCTTGACGCACACACAGCTACGGGTACCGGGGGCGAGACTGTCGGAACAACCTGTACCTGCTCCCGACAGGGGAGACGGTGTATTTCATCGCCTCGGTGGTGGTGCTGTACAACGTGGAGGAGCAGCTGCAGAGGCATTACTCGGGCCATAATGACGACGTGAAGTGGTGAGTCCTCAAAAGCTGGAGGTGGCATTAGCAGGAAGGTCAGTGTTGGGATGTGAGCCCCAGGGAAGGAAGGGAGCCACAAGCAGGCTCCAGCCGAGCTCTACTCTGGGCATGTTCACTGCTAGCACCTGGCCTGCTGACCCCCTCCAGGTCTAGCTGTCCATCCTCGGGCACAGAGTCTAACCAGCCAGTGACCTCAGCCAATGGCCCTGCAGGCCTGCCCACATGGCTTCTTAACACGTTGCACACAATGGCTATTTGCCTCGTGTTTATGGCTGGTCTACTCTTTCCCCAATTTGTCTACAGCTTTTGGTAAGAATATCATTCCTGGAAGTTTGGAATGAATAAATACATGTAGCATATATGTGTTTGTCCTGGTCAATGAAAAAAAAAATCCCATTGGCACAGATGAGGTGCCTTTCCTATTTAACATTCTCCAGTGACTTCTTAACAAAGGGTAGAGGCTAATTAAGTGGTTCGCAGGTTAAAATGTTTATTTTCCCAGCAAAGGATGCTTTTGCCTTGAGTTTGAAAGTTCTCCAGGAGAAATTCGAGACTGAAGATGAAATGAAGTGGGCACTCACTGTCCACGGAGGTTGGGGTTCGGGGGCTCATTGTGCCTTCTAAGAAGTCAGGCCTTGTGTTTCTTATGTTTAAATGTTTGACTAGATTGCACTTGGCCAGGGAAGAGCAAGGCCCACCTTTAAGGGCTGGTGTCTTATAAATATCCTCTTTTCAGCCTAGCAGTTCACCCCGATAGGATCACTATAGCAACAGGACAAGTCGCAGGCACGTCTAAGGATGGAAAAGTAAGTTGTACTATCTGTTCTTATTATTATTTCCTGAAAACACTGCTGATGGCGTCCCCCGCTTGGATCTGAACAGCTGACTCCCTCACCAGGATTGCTTACTGCCACTCACTGTCTCGCTGTGGACTTAAAAAGCAGCGTGTTCTTGCCTAAGACTTCACAATTCTGAACATACCTACTTGCACACACGATAAGCTTTGAAATTGCAGGTGCCTGTTTGATGTGTAAGGTTAAAGCCATAATGAACAGTCAGTTGGGTGTGGGATGTCCTGCGGTCAGGCAGGTCAGTGAGAGAAAGCCAGCACGAGTTAATAGAGAATGACAGTGTTTCCATCTGGTGACTGTCATGTCTTACCAAAAACTCCTGTGGCATGCGATACCTTGTTCACAGAGGTATCACAAATAAGGCTCATATTTGTGTGACCTGTTACTAAAATAACCACATTCAGTACTTTTGTTCTTATCAATGAGTTTTCTCTCAGAAAGAATGAAGGTGACTGTATTCTAGGAAACATTTTAATAACATTGAATTTTAAACATTAACTGTGTGCTGTTTTCCATTAAAACTCTACACTTGAAAAGAATTAATAGGGATAGTGGAAATCAGACTCCGGTTATGCAAATTCACATAAATGGAACAGGCGCTCATCTTTTTTTGTTTTTACACAGCCTTGAACATTTCTTTGAAATGAGTAGTGACCCTTTGTTCTGCCCTCTGGTGGCTTGATGTTGTATTTCAGTTCTGGCATTGAAATTGAGTCAGAACTTTTAGAACCTGAGAAAATGGTGTAGTTCCCTGAGCTCATCCAGTTTACCCTGGAGGACCGTGCAGACACCCAACTACTCAGAGATAAGGCCGGACCAGAACCCGGTTCACCTAATGCTTCTGACCACCAGAGACAGTGCCCTGCCTTGGTAACAAATCGGCAGGTTGCTCTACAATGCTTTCTTCTATACGGAAGAGAGAAGTTAGTATAAATAACCCTGGTCACAGTTGAGAGGGTTTTGAGCGAGTTATGACAACCCTAAGTTTTATTTATGCATAATCAATAGCCTGATTTGCTCCTGTTGAGCCCAGGCATGTCAAACTCTTATCACTATTTGGTGGTGACCATTTGGATGAACTTAGACATACTTGTGCCTTAGCAACCGAATGGACTTTAAAAGGAGAACCCTGAGCCAGGAGAAAGGGGGGGCCTGCAGCCCCAGCTACTTTGGAGGCTGAAGCAGGAGGAGTTTGAGCCTAGTCAACATAGTGAGACCCTATTAAAAATAAAAATAACCCTCATATGCGATGCCCTTTTCCTTATCCTTTTTCATTTCTAAAGTTATGACACATCCAGATATGCACATTGCACAGTCAGGTCCTTGGTATGGTTGTCAAGAGCTGCCAAGTCAAGTTTTAAAACTCGGTGGACTTCTAGTGTTGAGCTGGCCACAGAGCCCAGGCCCCCCTGTGGCCACTGGGATGTCTTGTCTCATTCAGAGGCAGCTCCTCAAATGCAGGGAAAAAAATCTTTGGTTTTTGACAAAATCGCAGTTGCTTCCCGGGTGATCGTGTAGCTTCAAGGTGAAGAGGGACAGGTCAGTTGACGGGACTGATGGCATCATTTGTTCATAACAGCAACTGCCCCCACATGTGCGCATCTGGGATTCTGTGACATTGAACACGCTGCATGTCATCGGGATAGGCTTCTTTGACCGAGCTGTCACCTGTATTGCATTCTCAAAATCTGTAAGTATGAAGCCCGTGGTGTTGTGGCCTCGGGCCTCAGGGGGAGCCCCCAGGCTGGAGTGGGGGGCTTACCGCCTGTGCAGGTGCAGATTCGCACTCTGGGACCTTCTGGCTTCCCAGGTCCCCTCATCAGGGACACTCTTCCAGTCGTACGCTTTAGCCATGTGGGCGTGGTAAAGGAAATAGCCCCCACCCCCATATTTGTCCTCATGTTCTTCAAGGCAGCCTTCCTGCTCTGGCCTTGAACGTCACCTGCTGCCTTGGCAGGTGGCTTCCACTGGCCCCGTTGCCTGTGTGCAAACAGGTTGGAGGGGGCCTCAAGGCTTCCCGGCTCCCTCAGGGTGTGCTGGCCCAGCCGATCCACGCTTCTTCATCCAGCTCACACACATGCACACACATGCACACACACATACCCACACATGTTCACAGCCACAGCTGTGACAGACCCCGGGACCTGCCGCCGAGGGCACTGTCTCCTCCAGGAGCTGCCCTGAGCCCTCTGGGCAGACTTTCCTGGAGCCTGGATGAGAAGCTGCCTCTGACCCCGGCCCTCCCACTCTGCCCCTCGGGAGCCCAGGCTCACCTACGCTCCCCGTCTGGCCAGGGATGCGGGTCCCAGAAGCAGCGGGTGAAGAACGGTGACTAGAGTAGCAGTTTTTACTAAAATCGTGCGCATCCCAGTTTACTCTCAATGAAGTCTTGCTATGAACAGCTTTCCCTTCCAGAACGGAGGAAGCAACCTCTGCGCTGTGGACGACTCCAATGACCACGTACTGTCCCTGTGGGACTGGCAGAAAGAAGAGCGGCTGGCCGACGCGAAGGTCTCACTCAAGCCCCAGCGCGACTCCCCACGCGGGCCCTGGCACAACCTCAGCCCCTCAGCAGCTGCCCCTGCCCCACCCTGCCCCAGTGTGGCTCCTTCCCCTTGAGGTCTTGTGGCCCCACCCTGTCCCCTGGCAGGACCTGATCCTGAGTGCTGTCACAGTTATTTCTTTGTTCATTTTTTGTTTCACTCCCTAGTGAGGGAGCTGCAGCAGCCTCTGCTGCCAGATGAGGCAGCCAGCACCCAAGCTCCAGGCACTGCCCCAGCCCAGGCACCTCCCAAGCTGAACAGACTCTGGGGGGACTTGAGGCCAATCAGATCCCTCCTGGGGTTCTCCCTGCAGTGGTCCACTTTGGCCTTCTTTCACTGCCTTGAATCCATTTTACCCAGAATGTCAACGTAATGTTCCTGAAGCTCCTTATGTTTTCATCCTGTTGAGATCATCATTGGATCCCTATTGTTATAGAACTGACTTTGGATTTCTCATCTTGGCATCTATTAGCCTTAGATAACCGAACTTACCTGACATTAGAGACATCAGATAGCATCACTTGTCTCACACCAAGGTGACCGCTGGATACCTCGCTCTCCTGACACTGGGGTCACCCCCGCTGACCTTTCACACCCAGCCATCTCTTGTGTGTCCGGGAGGCAGATCCTGTGCTCTGGTCAGGCGTGCTTCCTATCACGCTGGAGCCCTGCCGTCCAGTGTCCTCGTCAGGAATCCTGGGTGTCCTTGCCATGTTGCTAGGTGGGAAGGGATCAGAAGCAAGTTTTCATCCAGGTTCAAGGACATACAACTGAATTCCTAGCAAGGCCAGGCTTAGCAGGCCGAGCGCAGCCCTAGAGGCCAGGAGAGCAGTTGAGAGGTAATGAAATAATCGCCAAAGACCCAGACCCAGCACAGTGGACCCCAGACTGAGCCTCAGGCAGAGGCCCAGGAACAGGAAGGGGTCAGGGCAGCCAGGAGAGTGGGGCTGTGGGAATCCAGATTCCCACCCTTCTCTGGAGTTCCCCTCACGGGTGGGGATGAGGCCTAGAGCTCAGCACCTTGCCATGCGCCAGGCCTGGGAGATCAGCATGGGCACTGCAGCCCCTCCTGCCCTGCGCGGTTCGCTGCCCTGAGCTCCCCAGCCAGCGGGGGTCAGGCGAGGGGGTGGTCAAGGCGCGTGGCCAGTACCACTTCATACAGGGTGAATTCAGTGGGAAACTCAAAAGGCATCGTGCTTGGCTGGAATGAGTTGTTTATTGGTAGTTCAGGTTTATATTCTTAAGAGAAAATTGTCTTAGGAGATTCCAGGTGTCTGATTGCCCTGTTTCCCCTCAAGTGTTCTAATGAAGCTGTGTTTGCTGCGGATTTCCACCCCACGGACACCAATGTCATAGTCACCTGTGGAAAATCACATCTCTACTTTTGGACACTTGAAGGAAACTCCCTCAATAAGAAGCAAGGATTGTTTGAGGTAAAGTTACGTCTTTTGTTTAGTTTTCCCCTGGGAGGTGCATGTGATCAACTGGGCTTTAGGGGGGCGCTGAAGTGTCCCAGTCTGGAGTGCACCTGGGGGTGTGGTGGCACATCATGCTCTAGGACCCCTCACCTAGACAGGAGCCGCTTGTGCTTGTGGGCCTCACTGGTAACGCAGTGACCAGGGCAGGGAGCAGGCCCCGGCGAGGAGCTGGGACGGCGCAGGCCAGAGGGTGCGTGGGGGCGGCCGTCTCGTGAAGGGTGCCGGAGGCGTGTGCGCCTTCTGTCAGCCGGGAGAGCATGCAGGGACCTTCTCCTGGGCTGTTTAGAGGGTCCTTTGTTCTGGTGTGGGGTTCTGCTTCTTATTCTGTGGTCAAGACAACACGGCCCGCCCCTAGTCCCCGCCAGCACCCCTTCTGCTCGACTGTGCAACCTCAGGATTCCCCCGCCATTTGGAGCCCCAGAGTCTCTCCTCCTCTTGGAGCAGCGTAGTTACGTAAGGGTGGATAAAAATGAAAGCCACAGGGGATTGCTGTGGCTCCAGCTCTCGAGACCACAGGAAAGGCTGTCCTGATTCAATACACATATGTATGTATTTACTACATTCTGCAGAAACAGGAAAAGCCAAAGTTTGTCCTCTGCGTGACGTTTTCTGAAAACGGTGACACCATTACTGGAGATTCCAGTGGCAACATCTTAGTATGGGGAAAAGGTAACAGTGCCAATGCTTTGGTAATAAGCAAGACTTCAAGGATGACTTCTATAAGAACTGTCTGTTGATATGATCCACAGAGTTACTGTTAAATTCCAGGGTGTGTGTGTGTGTGTGTGTGTGTGTGTGCGCGCGCGTGTGTCCTGAAACCATAAAACTGGAACGGAAGAAAGCTGGAGAGTGGTAAGTTAAGTGTACCACCCTAAAGGGTCTTTAGGACCGAGGTGCCTTGAAGGATTTAATACGTTATTAGGAGATCTGTTAACAAGCTATAGCGATGAAGTTATAATGGCCGCATAGCTAGAAAATAGTTAGGTAACTTTCCTGGTTCACACAGCCTTGGGCAGACGTCTCTTAATTGCTACAACTAGCAGTGTGTGAGCTGCTCTCGGGGAGCCAGAGCCAGATCCCTGCTGCTGCCCCTGCTACTGCGAGCCGCTGGGGACAAGAGATTCACTCTGGAAAGATGTGCTCAGTTCAGGGCAGGCGACTTGGGGACACTTACCACGGCCAGGAAAATACGTCACCCCAGTTCAGGGATCGGAGAGTTGAGGTCGGGGTGAGGTGGAGACGGACCCCCAGTGGGCCTTCAGAACGAGGTGACTTGTAGACACCCCGGCTCCTGGTGCTTGAGGCACTGCTTGCTTAATCCTTGGAACAGTCCTGTGGGGGAGCAGTGGCCTGTTCCCCAAGGTCGACCTGAGGAAAGGAGCAGGCACCTGGCCCAGCCCGCAGCTCACTCTGGGGAAGGCGTGGGCACGAACACGGGCCACGCTCCCGGCCACAGCGTGCACCTTTCCCTCATCACAGAGGAGTCCGCTGAGGCTCGCTGGAGCACTGTGAGCTTCTAGAAATTGAGTCCTTTGTAGAGTTGAACTCACCACCCCACCCTCTCAGCCCAAGTGAAGTGAGACTGGAGGATGGACTAGGCAAGCCTGTGAACACGCTAACGGGGTCTCCTGCGTGTCTAGGTACCAACCGCATAAGCCACGCCGTCCAAGGGGCCCACGAGGGCGGCATTTTTGCGCTTTGCATGCTGAGAGACGGCACGCTGGTGTCCGGAGGAGGGAAAGACCGGAAGCTCGTTTCTTGGAATGGAAACTATCAAAAACTTCATAAAACTGAGGTGAGTCGGCAGGCTGCTACAGACTCGCTTTAACCTTAAACTGTTTTTCTGACTCATTTCCTTGTTAGTTTAGAATCCTTAACTTACAGTTTTAAAAATTGTTTAGATGGAATTATATGGAAACAACGTGTTTTGTTACAATTGTGGAGGCAATTAAAGTACAACTAAAATAAACTTAAATTGATAAAAATTTGAGGCTAATGGACACTTCATATTTACAGTGTTTTCCTAATAGGGCCAATTTAATTTTACAGGGGACTATAACCCACATTTTGATTTGTCATTCAAGTCTTTCCTGCCTTTTACTAATTTCCAGCCTGTTACTTTGCCAACATTATCATTCTGCACTTAGGTTTATTGAGTATCTACTTTGTGCCTGGCTCTCAGCTCAGGGCCAACAGGCTCTGTAGCACTCCAGCTGCTTAGGAGACCTGCTTCACCTCCAGGTTACCTAGGAGCCACCCTGCCTTCCTGGAAGCCAGAGGCAGGAAATTTAGTATTCCTCTACACACAAGAGTTTTCCCCCCAGGGTTCCAGGAAATTATGAGCAGACAGAAGGGAAAATTGCTGTCGATCTAACGGGTGATGCTCTGCGTCCCTAGTGTAGAGGGACATGCTGCAGCACTGTTCCAGCTTCTAAGTCAGAGCGCACAAGGCCTGCGTAGTACAGCATGTGACAAGGCACTGTTCAGCAGTGGGGGATTTGGTTCTGCTGACCATCGCCTGTATCAAGGAGGCCTTCCTCGAGCATCAGCCGGCACTCCCCCTTGGTGGAGTTTTAGTCTGAGAACTTTTTATGCTAAGGTTTGATCGGCACTTGAGTGAACATGCTCTGTATTACTAGTCGTAGATGTTCCCGTGTTAAATTATAACAGCAAAGGAAGCACCGAAGCCTCATTGGAGGTAACTCGCCACTGTTGGTATCTGTGACTCCTCTTTGTGTGGATCGCCATCACCTTTTCCCAAGCCCAGGCCAATGGCCTGCCTGGAAGATAGAGAAAGGGTATGTGGGTGGCCCACTGTCCCTGAGCTAGGCCACTGTCCCTGCGCTGGGCCACTCTCCCTGAGCTGGGCCACTCTCCCTGAGCTAGGCCTGCCTGGCCCAGAGACCCTGTCTTCCTGGAGGGCAAGAACTTCAACTCTTCATGGCAAATTGCCTCAATGAGTGCGTTTTGAATCCTTTTCTTAATATTTGGATCATTTCTGGTGTCCATCAGTATGAATAGTGGATTTCAAAACTAAACAGAGCAATGTTGCCATTTCAAAGTTACAGCAACTCTTACTGGTCCTTATTTTCCAGACCTTATCAACTCTTGCCACAGAAGTCATAACAAGTGAAGAGCAGACTAACCAATTATATTCCTTTATTATTTTGGGGGTCAGAAAAAATACCCTTTTTTTTTTTAAACAACTTGACTTTTGCTGATTCTTTGAAGATATGTAAACTGTTTATAGTTTTAGCAGTAAGGTTTGGGACCAGGGATGGAGCACAGTGGTAGCATGCCTGCCTAGCATGTGCGAGGCCCTGGGTTCAATCCCAGCACTGCAGAAAACATTAATAAAAATAAATAATAAAAAAGTAAGGTTTGGGGTTTCAGTCGTTCACTCCACAGCTGTGGTGGCTAACCTCTCTCCGTGTGTGCACATGTATATGAAACGGCTGAGTCCTTCCCATGTGATGGATAGACAAGGACTTTGGATGCTTGAGCTGACAATTTCATAAAATCTGAGATCTTTTCACACCACGCTTTCCAATGCAGATTCCTGAACAGTTTGGCCCAATCCGGACGGTGGCCGAGGGGAAGGGCGAGGTCATCCTCATAGGCACGACTAGGAACTTCGTCCTGCAGGGCACCCTGTCAGGGGACTTCACACCCATCACTCAGGTATGGTTAACTGAGCATTCAAGTAAGCGCCAGAAGGAGGCAGTCACTCCTGTGTCCCCCTGAAATGGCCTTGGCAGAGAGACAAATGAGGGATGCACTGAAGGGGCCCGTGCCGTCGTCCCTGCAGACCCCCGCTGTAGACTGTGGGGTCTCAAAGCTCCTGTGTCTTGCTTCTTTGCAGGGTCACACTGATGAGCTCTGGGGACTGGCCGTCCATGCTTCCAAACCTCAGTTCTTGACCTGTGGGCATGACAAGCACGCCACTCTCTGGGACGCTGTCGGCCACCGGCCTGTCTGGGACAAAATCATAGAGGTAAGCATGCGTGCTACATTTCCACCTTTCTTGTAGAAATTTACCTGGAACTTGCTCATTTTTTCTTGCAAGCCAGCCTCCCCCACTGAGCTCTTCAGAGTCGCGCTGCTCTCCACGTGCCCCGACGGCTCTCGCCCTGCAGTGCCGACGTTCCCCTGAACTCTTAGCAGGTCTGCCGCAGTCTGGCTGGGCACAAATGCCGCAGTCTGGCTGGGCACACAATCACGAGCCACCACACAGCTTGTAGATTCAAACAGCAACTCTTTATTCCCGAACTCACACCAGCCGTCTCTGCCCAAATCCACGTTCTCTGCCCAAATCCACCTTCTCTGCCCAAATTCACGTTCTCTTCCCAAATCCACTCCCACTGGGCTTCTATCTCCAAAATATACTGTCTGAATCCCGTGAGAACTCAAGGGGAACTTGGGCAGCAGGATACGCCCTATTCCCAGCAGGAATAATCTTAAACCTTAAACCTGGAACCTAAACTGGGAACGCCCTAAACACGATTATCTTAAAACCGGGAACACCCTAATCTGCCTTGGTCCTTGAGCAAGGTCACCTACATTCAATGTCACTGCAACATGTCAGCAACATGGGGTACGCTGGCAAGGAAATTGTCATACCTACTTGGCTAATGGCTCCCAGCACAGGTCGAGTTGCTCACGGGTTCTTGGGCGCAGTGTCCTCACTGCCTCAAGTGCTGGAGATGCATGTCATAAGCCGTATTCTGTCTGTGACGTGACTCTTGGATAGGAGCTCCCAAGGTGTACTGAGAACAGTTCAATTCGTCTCTACGTTCTCAGTGTGATGGTAAAGATAAAGCATTAGTTTTAAAGTCAGCATCTCTGTGAACTTTGCAAAAGGAGCGCAGATTGCATACCTTTCCCTCCATGTAAAACAGGCCTGCATTTCTTGAGCACTGGCTGTTTGCCTGCCAGACACTGGATGTGTGTTGTCTTAATCCTTGCGGCCACCCTGCAGGTTGAAAATTTTTTTTCTCTGGCTGGGGATGTGGCTCAAGCGGTAGTGTGCTCGCCTGGCATGCGTGCGGCCCAGGTTCGATCCTCAGCACCACATACAAACAAAGATGTGTCTGTCGATAACTAAAAAATAAATATTAAAAAAAATTCTCTCTCTCTCGCTCTCTTTAAAAAAAAAAAGAAAATTTTTTTTCTCTCTGATTTTATCAACTAGGAAATTGAGGTTTAGAGAAGTTACATAACTTGCCAAGGTCACTGATTAGTCGCAGGACAGTACTTACACCCAACTGGCCAACCCCAGGCTCTGTCCTCAGCACCGCACTGTGAGAGTCAAAGGGACCGCCTGTGTTCTTGCACCCTTGATGATATACACAGCCCCAGCATATTCTTTAATGCCCTGCAGAGTGGCTGGCATCCCCCAGGTGCTGGGTCTGGCTCTCCTCTCTCTACTTTCAGAGAAAGGTTCGATGGGTTGCTGACCACTGTAGCCAGCTGAGCATGGGAGGGACGAGCCAGAGGGGCTCAGCGGTGCTCAGAGAGGGCAGCCTTCCCCTCTGTCTCATCAGCGTGACTGCCTCAGGAAGCAGTGACAGTCCCTACACTTCCCTGCCCCTTCACCACTCAGCTTGATCGTAAAGGTGGGGCCGGAGCTGGAAGCCAGAGGCCTGCAGCAAGTCAGCTCCTGGGCCACTGGCCCTGTGACTTTGGACAGGAAGCCGTCACTTCTCTGTACTGCAGTGTCTTCATCTCACAATTGTCACGAGGCTCAGATTAATGGCCTGCACCAAAGTGCTTTTGTAAATGGTAAAGTGCCAAGGGAAACCTGAGGTCCACGTGTGGGTCGTGGCGGCCTGAGCTCCCACTTAGGAAGAGGCATCTAGAGGATAAAGCCAGAAGCTGCTGCTTCTTTCCAGTCTCTGGAGTCTCTAGTTAATCCTCGAGCATCTCTGTGCCCTCCATGTCCACTCCTGGCTTCTTTGCAGGGGTCAGCTGGTTTTATCTCCAGACAGCTCACTATTTGACCAAGTGACCACTGAGCATAATCTAAACTAGGGCTCAGAAAAAAGAGCATTTCCCTGTTAGTCTCTCATCTGATGACTGTAGATATGAGAGGGGATAAGACAAAAGGAAAAATTCTGAAGGGATAAAACTGTGACGTGACTCTTGGATAGGAGTTTTCCCATTGAAATGTGCCAATTGTAATGCATTCCTCTGTCATATATAAATAAAAAATTAATTTAAAAAATGTAAAAAGATTTATGGTACTTAGAAACTTACAAAAAAAAAAAAAAAAGAAGAAGAAGAAGAAGAAATGTGCCACATATCCAGGGGGAAGCCATCCTCCTCTGTGGAGAGAAAGGACTTTCCAAATAGAGCCACTGGGCTTACGGGGGTGGCGGGGCATGGGGGTGTCATGCTTGTGGTGCTATATCTGCCATCAATTTACACTTCCTTTAAAATATTTTAGGATCCAGCTCAGTCTTCTGGTTTTCATCCTTCAGGGTCTGTGGTTGCGGTCGGAACACTGACTGGGAGGTAAGCCCACCCCAGGCGGCCTGTGCTCGCGCCCCATGTGCCCCCAGGCCCCACGCAGCCAGCTCCCGACTGCGGCTTCTCAGCTCCCAGTGACTCTCCAAGAATCAGTCCAAACTCAAAACTTAAGGCAGTGGTCCTTCCTGTTTTGAAACTGGGGGTCATTTTGTAAAGCTATAGGTCCTCAATCATATAAAAATGCCTGGTCCTCAGGCCCCCCCAGAGTCTCCCCCCAATCTGCCTCCAGGTTCAAAGTCTGTGGAGCTCCCCAGGCCTGCCCGAGAGCTCAGGAGGAGGAATCAGGCGAGAAAGCAATCCAAAGCGCCCAGAACTTAAAACTGCTTCTTTTTTTTTAACTGGACTTTCAGAATTTTGAGAGTGCCCATTCTGAGCCTCGTGTTCAGGTTTGCTAGTGTTTATCTACGCGCACCTCCGACGTCTGTGTTGGAACTCTGCTTTGCCACTTGGCAGTGTGTGTCTTTGAGCCGGTCACATGAACTTTCTGAACTTGTTTCCTCTGTCAGTCATGGTGGTACTGTCTGCCTGGCTCTGTCGCACAGGGCTGAAGGGGGCCGTGGTGAAGCATCCTGCCCTGTGTCCTAAACCGTGACAGCACCTCTAAGTTAGGCACAGGAAGAGCCTCACCACAACAATAAAACAGAGCAATTATAACAAACATGAATTAGGTGGGTGCATCTCTGCAGAAACAGCTGATTGCACCGTGTCCCCCTCTGCTGCGATGACGTGAGGTGACACAGTGCCTGCCTGATGAGAAAGGAGGCAGGTGACACGCACAGAATGGCACATGCTTTAAAACTGCTTATTTCTGGAATTTTCCATTTAATATTTTCAGACCAATGTTGACCGTGGGTAACTGAAACGGGAAGGAAGACCCGGGGCGGGGCGGGGCGGGGCGCTGCCCACATGCACTTACTGTGGTTTCACTGAGATACTTGGTGGTTTCCTCCCATCCTTTCTCCTCGAGAAGTGCACCACTTAGATGCCGTTGTTGTCTGGAGGGTAGAAAGAGAGTGACCGTCCCACGGCATTCACAGGTCATCAGAGTGCGGTTGCACGGCGCCCTTGTGCGCCCCCCCCCCTTCCGTTTCACTCTCCCAGGCAGCTGGGGCTGGAGCTCAGCAGGCCCCCCTCTGAGCTCCCACAAAATGCCATCACCTCCCCGTGCACCACAGGGAGAGCATGCTCAGAACAGGCAGCGCTGTGGGCTTGAGGACGTGGCCCCTCCGTCTGCCCCTCCCATGTTGCTGGTCCCAGGCCAGATGCTCTGATGCTGTCCTTTAGACAGGACATTTCAAAGGCACGTTCCAGTCAGCCCAGCCTTGCTATTTGTTACCTTCTGGCCTCTGTTAAGGTTAAATAACATGTTAAAGATACATGGTTGTTCAAGATGCCAGAAATCAAAGCCGAGAAGCAGCATCCAAACCTCAGGCGGTCCTGATGGGCAGTGGTCAGTGCTGAATGGAAGGCAAGCACACAGCAGCTCCACGCCAGTGGTGGCCAGGGTTGAAACTACAGCCTCGGGGAGCCCACAGCCTTTCAGCCCCGCAGCCCGGTGCCCCACCCACCGCCACCCCTCAGTGTTCAGTCTTTCTGAAGTCCATCAACCCTGAAGCGGGTGCAGGGTCCCTACCGAAGGTAGGAACCACTCCCAGGTCCATCACAACTCAAGCCTGCAGAGGAGACCCCAACTCTAATCCCATGTCACCACTGGAAACTGGCCGGAGAAGTCCAAGTCAAGGCCTGTCCGTTTGGCTCTCTTCCAGGCTTGCTGTCCCCCATCCGCCCTGTGGCTGCTCCCTAGCACACAGAAGAGCTGGACTTGACCCAGCTGCCCAGCCCCTCCTCCTGCACCCGGCTGGTCCAGGTGGGGCCAGAGCTCTGGGTGAGCTCAGCAGGCGGTCCTTGGCCACTCCTCTGACCACAGGCTGCAGCACTAGGTGTTGGCCGTCTTCCTGTGCAGGGCTCTCTCTCCTTCCGTGTGTAAATGACAAAACACAAAACACAATGCTGAGAGACCACATCATAGCGCTGAGAACTGAGTCTTTCCAGACCGCTGTGTGCTCTTCCTTTTCAGAGAAGGCTCGTGGGTATTCAGAGGACACTCCTCTGGATGAAACCTGGGAATAAGCTTTCTTACTGAGCCACCCGGAGTGTGCCGCCCTTCTGATATGGACACTTGTTAACGGTCTTGCCCTACTGTCGTGCCCTTATTGACTTTCCCCCTAAACTGCCTCTCTGTTTCTCTTGTTTTAACAGGTGGTTTGTGTTTGACACAGAAACAAAAGACCTGGTCACCGTCCACACGGACGGCAACGAGCAGCTGTCCGTGATGCGCTACTCCCCAGGTGAGAGCTGCGCCCTGAGGAAAGCGCCTCGGCCTCCCCAGAGCCACCTGCACCACACAGGAGGGCGGCGTCTCTGCCCTCCTGCGCTGACGAGTGTTACCTCACTGTCATGGAGAATTCTGAGCATGGTCAAAATTGAACAGGACAGCCTAGTGACCCCTGTGCCCACCATGCAGGTCCACGATGGCCAGTGCTTAGCGGGGCCCGGCCTCCGCAGCTCCCACCCTTCCTCCCATGACATTGTTTCATCCGATAACTGTCGCATACATCCCCAGAAGGTGGGGGCTGTGTCTGACAGCTTTCTCAAGGTGTAATTTACAGACTGTTATTTACCCACCAAGTGTACGGCTCAGTGATCCTTAGTGCATTTAGGGTTTTGCAACCATCACTACAATTCAGTTTTGAAACCTTTTCATCCCCCTGAGAAGTTCCCTCTGTATCTATGAGCCATTCATCTTTGCCCGCTGCCCCATTCAAGACAACTACTGATCTTCTCTTTGTCCATATAAATTGTTCTCCATAGTTAATTCCTTTTTAATTGCTATATAGCATTCCATTTTGGGGATATGCCATGTTTTGTTCAACTTTTCCCCAATAACGGAAGTTTGGATTATTTCTCACTTTCTACTATTGTGAATAATGCTTCTGTGAATATTCAGATATAAATGGCTTTTTGAAGGCATATTTTCATTTCTCTTGGGGAAGTTCCTAGGAGTTGCATCAGTGGGTTGTATGGTGAACTTGTGTTCAGCACGCTAGGACACCGTCCAGCTGTTTTTCACAGTGGCTGTCGTAATCTCCATTCCTCCAGCAGTGTCAGAAGGCTCTGGGGTCTCCACCTCCTTCGCGACCCCTGTACTGCCTGTCTCTCGTGGTGGCCATTCTGAGGGGAGTGATGTGCCTGCTGTGGTTTTAATTGGCCTTTCCCTAGTGACTGTGGACACTGGGCAATTTTTTATGTGCCCATTTGAGATTCCTAGATTTTCTTTGGTGAAATAACTATTCATGTCTTTTACCCATTTAAAATGAGGTTGTCTGTCTTACCATTGAGTTGCAGGAGTTCTTTCTTCTACATGTAAATTCTTTACCTGATAAAGGCTTCATAAATATTTTCCCCAGCATTGGGCTAGTCCTGCCATTTTCTTGGTGGAGTCTTTTGAAGTACAAATGTTTTGTTGTTGTTGTTGTTTTGATGAAGTCCAGTGGGTCAGTTTTTTCTCGTAGGGATCGTGCCCAGGGTCGGGAAGACTTCTCCTGTGCTTTCTCTCAGAGGTGTCGGGTTGGCCCGTGCGTTCAGGTGGGGCCCATTTTGAGTGGCTTCTCATGGACTGTGATAGCTAAGAGTCAGAGCGTGTCGTTCTACACACAGATGTCCCTCGTCCCTACACTGCCTGTTGACAGCAATATCTGTCTCTATTGGATCGTCTTGGCCTTTTTGTCACAGATCAGTTGACCATAACATGAAGATTCATCTTTGAGACGCTCGGTTCTGTCCCTCCCCTGTGTAGACCCTGTCCCATCCACATGGTCATGACTGTGACTTTGGGTAAACTTTGGAGCTGACTAGTGTGACTCCTCCAGCTGTTTGGTTACTTGCCAAGTTCTACTGGCTGTTTGGGTTCCTTGACATTATACAATATTACACACATTTTAGGATCAGCTTGTCACTTTGTGATTTTAAAAAGCCTATTAGGGGGGCTGGGGCTGGCTCAGTGGTAGAGCACCTGCCTCGCACGTGTGAGGCCCTGGGTTCAATCCTCAGTACCACATAAAAATAAATAAATAAATTTTAAAAAATTAAGAAGTCTAGTAGGGTCTTAATAGAAGTTATGTTGAATTTGTAGATCATATGGGGAGAATTCTCACCTTGATTGATAAATTGAGTCTTCTAATCCATGAGTATCTCTCCATTTATTTAGATTTTCTTTCTTTTTTCTTTTTCTTTTTTTTTTTTTGGCTAGTGGGTGTTAAACCTGGGGCCTCATGTATGCTAGCTACATACTCAGCCCTTTTAAATTTTTTTATTTTGAGACAGGGCCTTGCTAAGTTGCCAAAGCTGGCCTCCAACTTGTGATCCTCCTGCCTCAACCTCCTGAGTAACTGGGATTATGGGTGTGAGCCACCATGCCCTACACACATCTTCTTTGATTGTTCTCAGGAATATTTTATAGTTTTTCATGTACAATTCAAGTCTTGCACTCTCTTTGTTAAATTTATTCCTAAGTTATTTTTATGTTGTGGTGAATGGAATTTTTTTCAGGTTGTTGGTTAGTAGTATATAGAAATAAAATTAAATTTTGCACATGGAACTTATATCCTTTCACCTTTCCAACTTTTTATTAGTTTTAGAGGGGTGTGTGGGGGGGTGACCATTGGGAGTTCTTCATTCCAGGATCACATCATCTGAAAATGACAATTTTTCTTCTTCCTTTTCACTCTGGATGTCTTTAGTTATTTCTCCTTTTCTGTGTTAGGTAGTACCTCCAGTAAAATGTGAAAAGAAGAAGGTCCCTTACTTTGCTGCCCATCTTAGATAAAGCCTCTGTCTCTCATCTTTAGGGATAAGGATGCCCTTCACCTTGATGAGAAAGTCCCCCTCCATTCCTGGGTTGCTCAGGGTTTTGAAGCACAAATGTTTTGTTGATGTTGTTGTTGTTGTTTTGTGTTTTTTTTTTTGTTGTTGTTGTTGTTGTTTTGTTGTGAAGTCCAGTGGGTCAGTTTAGAATGGTGTTAGTTTGTCATGTGCTCTGTCTGCATTTATTAAGCTGACCACGTGGTTTTGTGTTTCTTTTTCAATGTGGTGAATTACATGGATTTTCCAGTGTTAAGCCAACTTCAGTTCCTCTGTGAATCCCGCTGGGTCCCGGGGTACAGTCCCTGTTTCATCTTACTGAACCCAATTTGTTAATAGTCTGTGAAGGACTTTTGCAGAAGTGTCCCAGGGGATGTTGCTCTGAGTTCCTTCCTGGTGCCTTGGCCTGATGTGGCTGAGGGTCCTGCGAGTCTTGAGGGTGTGTTGGGACCCTCCTTTCCTCTGTTTTCTGGGCTTGTGAAGGTTGCTGCTGTTTCTCGACTACATAGTTGATGGAACTCACGTGAATTCAGTGGAACCTTCTGGGCTTTTTCTTGGGGGAGGGTTTGTAATTGCTAATTCCATGTCTTTATTTATTATAGGTCTATTGGGATTTCCTGTTTCTTCTTGAGTCAGTTTGGTGGTTTGGGTTTATCTAGGAATTTTTGTTTAAGTTGTCTCATTTGTTGGTATAAATCTGTTGGTAGTACTTGCCCGTGTGATCCTTTCCATGTCCCTGAGGTTGGGTCTCAGTAACTCATCTTCATCCTTGATTCTGGTAACTTGTGCCCTTCCTCTTTTCCCTTGATCGGGCTAGCCAGAGGTTTGCCAATTTTGCTGATCTTTCCAGAAAACCAACTTTTGGTTTCATGGGGTTTTCCTCTGTTATTTTCTGTTTTTTTCTCTTTTCTGTTCTGATCTTTTTTGTTTTCTTCTGTTCCTTTTTCTTTCTTTCTTTAAGTTTCTGAGGATGGAGACTTGGGTTATTTGTTGGAGAATGTTCTTTTCTGGTATAGATATTTAAAGCTATAAATCTTAACTATTGCTTGAGCCACATCTCATGAACTTTGACATGTGTTCTCATTTTTATTCAGTTCAAAAGTATTTGCTAATTTCCCTGGTGTTTACTTTTTGGCTTATGAGTTATTTAGAAATGCATTGTCTAATTTCCAAATATCTGTGGATTCCCCATATTTCTTTCAGCTACTGGTTTCTGTTTTCATGTTATCATAGTCGTTGAGCAGACTTTGTGTGACTGGTCACTCTAAATACATTGAGGGGTGTCTTGTGGCCTCCTCGTGGCCTGTCCTGGGATAGGTTCCCTGGACACTGGAGACGAGTGAGTACCCTGCAGTCCTGGGCGGAGTGTTCTAGGTAAATCAGCTCGGACAAGCAGTTGGTAGTGTTGTTCATGGCCCTGTCCTGCTGATTCAAGGCCCCTGGCCTGCTGATTTACTAGTTGTCCTGCAGTGGTTGGGAGTGATGGATTACGGTCTCGTTGTGTTGTTGCTGTCACTTCTCAGGTCTTTCTGGTTCGCCTCGTGTAGTTGGAAGAGCACCTAGACAGAAGTGCATTTAAACACCTGTAGCCAGCCAGGCCTCCATCCGTGGATGTGCAGGCGGGAGAGGAAATTCAAAGTTCAGGCCCTTCAAACCCAGTAGGTGTGGCTTCCACCTGCTCTCTGCATCTGTGCAGTCTCCATGTGGCCAGGAGGCCCCGTATAGCCAGGGACCTCTCCAGCCTCCACCGTGCACACTACAGTGTCCCCCCACCCACCCCAGACCATGTTTACCCCAAGCACAGCCACCATCTCAGGCTAATAGAGCTGCTGTTCCTCCCCGCTGAGCCACCTGGAGACCATCCCTTCCATCCGCAGTGCTGCTGGGCCTCCGTGTCACCCAGGGCTTCACAGTGAGAGACCTGCTTTGGTCACAGCTGTGAAGCTGCTGTCCCCAGAGGCTGCTCCTCCCTGGCGTAACCTTGGTGCCAGCTGAGCTGCTGGGAGGGGATGAGGACAGCCCGGGAAGCGCTCCACAGGCTCACCCTGTCCTTCCCTGCCGTGCAGCACACACACCCTTAGACCGCAGGCCGTTCTGGCTTTGGTCGATTTCCAGATTGCTGAACGGGTTCTGGTGAGCTTTGCCCAGGGTTGTCGTGGCCTTGAAGGAGAGAGTTCCCAGCCTCCCGCCTGGCCGCAGCACCAAGCCCGCCCTCTAGAGTGCCAAGTCACCACGCCGTGGTCTCCTCCTCACGCCAGATTAACACAGCTCCCTCAGCTTCACCGGAGGTCCGGGTGGTGCTCAGTCCAACGTTCGCTCTTTTCCACAGTTGTTTAAATCAGGACCCAGAACAAGGCCATCCGTGGTCCTTGGCCAATGGGTCCCCGAAGTCCCTGCTGATCCAGAGGTGCCCCCCCCCACGGCAGCT